TAATTCTATTATATTTATATAATATTTACATATAATTTAAACTAACTAAATTCTTTATTTAAAAAATTATTTTCTAATTTCTTTTAGTTGGTAAGTTATAAGTTATTATATACTATTTAAAATTTAAATTTATTAATTATTTATTATATTAAAATCTTACAATTTTATTCAGAGTAAGTATAATTAATATTATTTAATATTTAAATTTTTTTAATTGTAAATTTTATTTTAAATTTTAAATTTTAATATAATTTCATTTTTATATTTAAAGATTTGGTACTAGTGGAAGTAAAATTGTGGATCAATTTATTTCCAAAAATGAATTAAAATGGATTCCTTATAATACCTTTAAAAATATTGAATATCTTGATAAAGGAGGATTTGGTACTATATATGAAGCTGAATTTTATAGTATTAAAGTAATCCTTAAATCTTTTAATCATCTTAATAATTTAGATGAATGTTTAAATGAATTTTTAAATGAAGTATGATTAAATATTATTTTTTTTTAATACTATGATTTAGTTATACTAATTTACTAATAAATATTATTTATTATAGTGGAAAATTATTGATTCATATGAAATTATTAGAATATATGGATTTACAAAAGATCCAGATACTTTGAATTATGTATTAATAATGGAATATACAAATAAGAATAGTTTAAACAGATGTTTAACAGAAATAACAAAAAATTGGGAACAAAAATTATTTTGTTTATATCAAATTATTAAGGGGCTTAATAATATTCATGAAAAAGATCTTATTCATTATAACTTTCATAATGGTAATATTTTATGTAACAAATATGAAGGAAACATATATGGAATTTTTATTAGTGATTATTTAGGATTATATCAACTTGCAAAATCTTTTTTAAAAGAAAATGATATCTTTGGAGTTTTACCATTTATAGCACCTGAAATTTTAAAAGGTCAACCTTATACTCAAGCTAGTGATATATATAGTTTTTCTATAATTATGTGGGAATTTACATCTAAAATTCTACCATTTAATGATAAAGCACATGATCTTCAGCTTGCTTTAAGTATTTGTAAAGGTGAACGTCCTGAAATTATTGAAAATACTCCACAATGTTATATAGATTTAATGAAAAAATGCTGGGATGAAGATCCATTAAAAAGGCCATCTTCTAAAGAAATTTTAAATATTATTGAAAGTTGGATTTTTCGTCCTGAGAATAAGAAAATTGAAGATATTAATGAAGAATTAAAAAGCAATATTATGGAATTTATAAATGCACCAATTGAGCATAATAACCTTATTGTAGAATCTCATCCAAAAGCATGCTATACAAGTCATTTATTTGATTTTACTAGTAAAGAATTAAATGAAATTCTAGAAGGTTCTCAAAGATTTCTTGAATTAAAACAAAAATATCAAAGTTCTCAAAATGAATTACAAAATATTCAAATGGAATTAGTTAATTTACAACAAAACTCAACTTTACAAAAAGATGAATTTGCAAAAAAAGTAAGTACTTTACAAATCCAAATTACAAATCTTCAAAGTGAAAAACAAGCTTTAAATAGTAAACTGACTGAACAGTTAAAGCAAAACAGTCAGTTAAATCTAGAAAAAAATAATCTGCAAGAAGAATTAAAATCTCAACAAAATCAATTTAAAAATCAACTAAATCAATTTCAAATTGGTTATAAGCAAATAGAGGAAGAAAATCTTAAGTTAGAAAAGATTGCTGAAACTTATTATCAAAATTCTCAAAATGAGTTAGTTAATTTACAACAAAGGAATTCTCAAACAGAAGAAGAAATTCTTAAGTTGGAAAGTGAATTATTTGATTTACAACAAAGAAATTTTAAATTTGATCAAAATAATCAAAATCTGAAGCAAAGGAATTTTGAATTTGAGCAAAATAATCAAAATCTGAGGCTTAACTTAGCTAAACAGATTAAAGAATTTGCAGAAAGAGAAAATATTTTACAAATCCAAATTATTGACCTGCAAAATGAGAAGCAAAACTTAACTGGCAATTTAACCAATTTAACTGAACAATTGGAACAAAATAAACTAACTAACCAGCAAGTTCAAGATCAAATCAGCCAGTTAAAGCAAGAAGAAACTAAATTGCAAGAAAAATTAGCTCAAACAGAAGCTAATATTCAAGAATTAAAATCTCACAAAGAAAGCTTAATCAAACAAAAGGAGCAATTAGAAGTTAATTATGAACAAATAAAGCAAGAAAGAATCAGATTGCAAAATAGAATAAGTGATCTTTTACAAGATCAAAAGCTTACTACTGAATTGAAAGCCAAGTTAGAAGAAGAAATTTCTCAATTGGAACAAAAATTAATCGTTGAAGAACAAATCAAAATGCAATTAACTCAAGCCTTACAGATTAAAGAAAATAGAATAAATGAATTAGAACAAAGGCTGATTAATCTTGATCAAGAGCGTATTAAAAAGTTACAAGATAAAAGAAAAGAATTGAGTGAAATTGAAAAGGAATTATTAAATAAATTAACTAGTGGAAAAAATACTAAAGAAATTCATAAAGAAAAAGAAGCTAAACAAAAAGAGATGAATGAACTCCAACAAGAATTATTAAGAACTTCAACTTCTTATAATGTCAATAGAAAAAATCAAGTTTTCAAACAAGTCAATAATTTTCTGAAAGTTAAGGGTAGATTCTTAACTTTACGAGAAGAAGCTATTAAAAAACTACAAAATTGCTGTAATAATCTAGAAAGTTCTATTAATAAGGAAAGAAATACTATTGGTTCTATTAGAGATATAAAAATCTCTAAATTGACTGATAAATATACTAAAGAATTTCAGAGTATTTTAGTAAAATATAATGATGAATTTTTAGAGTTGAACAAAAATTATTGTTTCTTAAAGAAAATTGTTCAGGAAAATAAAGAATTGGAAGTTAGCCCTAAAATTGAAAATATTCTTAATTTGAATTCTTTTAATCTTGATAAATACAAAATTTTTAAATTTGCTACTAATTCTCAGGAAGGAACCAGAATTCAATTAAATTCTAATATGATGAAAGAAGATATAAATTCATTAAGAAAGAATTTGAATGAATTGAAATTAGAATTAAACCAAGAAAAAAAAGTATTAAAAAATTTAGCAACAGTTTAGATTTAACCATATTGATGGATTATAGTACAGTTCATAAAATAGCTATTGATTCATTGAAATGAAATTAAGTATAGTATTTACCAAATATATGAATATATATTCTAGAATTTATTGAACATTAATAGTTCTAGGAATTTTGAGATTTTTTATTAAATTATAACTGTATTTTTATATTTTTTTTTTTGTTTTTTTTATCAATAAAGGATCATTAAACTTTTTGAAATTCTTTATATAAGTCATTTAAATAACCATTTATA